ATAGTAAAATTTACAAGTCTTAGTGACAAAGAGAAGATCCTGAAAGCAGCCCGGGAAAAGAAGTCTGTAACGTACAATGGTAAAAATATTAGATTGGCAGCAGACTTATCCACAGAGACCTGGCAGGCCAGATAGAGCTGGCATGATATATTCAGAGCACTAAACGAGAAAAACATGCAGCCAAGAATACTATATCCAGCTAGGCTATCATTGAAAACAGAAGGAGAGATTAAAAGCTTCCAGGACAAACAAAAACTGAAAGAATTTGCAAACACCAAACCAGCTCTACAGGAAATATCGAAAGGGGTCCTCTAAGCAAAGAGAGGCCCAAAAAGTAGTAGATCAGAAAGGAACAGAAACAATATACAATAACAGTCACCTTACAGGCAATACAATGGCACTAATATCATATCTCTCAATAGTTACCCTGAATGTTAATGGGCTAAATGCCCCAATCAAAAGACACAGGGTATCAGAATGGATAAAAAAACAAAATCCATCTATATGTTGCCTATAAGAAACTCATTTTAGACCCGAAGACACCTCCAGATTTAAAGTGAGGGGGTGGAAAAGAATTTACCATGCTAATGGACATCAGAAGAAAGCAGGAGTGGCAATTCTTATATCAGATCAATTAGATTTTAAGCCAAAGACTATAATAAGAGATGAAGAAGGACACTATATCATACTCAAAGGGTCTGTCCAACAAGAAGATCTAACAATTTTAAATATCTATGCCCCTAACATGGGAGCAGCCAACTATATAAACCAATTAATAACAAAATCAAAGAAACACATCAACAATAATACAATAATAGTAGGGGACTTTAACACTCCCCTCACTGAAATGGACAGATCATCCAAGCAAAAGATCAACAAGGAAATAAAGGCCTCAAATGACACACTGGACCAGATGGACATCACAGATATATTCAGAACATTTCATCCCAAAGCAACAGAATACACATTCTTTTCTAGTGCACATGGAACATTCTCCAGAATAGATCACATCCTCGGTCCTAAATCAGGTCTCAAGCGGTATCAAAAGATTGGGATCATTCCCTGCATATTTTCAGACCACAATGCTCTGAAGCTAGAACTCAATCACAAGAGGAAATTTGGAAAGAACCCAAATACATGGAGACTAAACAGCACCCTTCTAAAGAATGAATGGGTCAACCAGGAAATTAAAGAAGAATTGAAAAAATTCATGGAAACAAATGATAATGAAAACACAACGGTTCAAAATCTGTGGGACACAACAAAGGCAGTCCTGAGAGGAAAATATATAGCGGTACAAGCCTTTCTCAAGAAACAAGAAAGGTCTCAGGTACACAAGCTAACCCTACACCCAAAGGAGCTGGAGAAAGAACAAGAAAGAAACCCTAAACCCATCAGGAGAAGAGAAATCATAAAGATCAGAGCAGAAATCAATGAAATAGAAACCAAAAAAACAATAGAACAAATCAACGAAACTAGGAGCTGGTTCTTTGAAAGAATTAATAAGATCGATAAACCCCTTGCCAGACTTATCAAAAAGAAAAGAGAAAGGACCCAAATAAATAAAATCATGAATGAAAGAGGAGAGATCACAACGAACACCAAAGAAATACAGACGATTATAAGAACATACTATGAGCAACTCTACGCCAACAAATTTGACAATCTGGAAGAAATGGATGCATTCCTAGAGACATATAAACTACCACAACTGAACCAGGAAGAAATAGAAAGCCTGAACAGACCCATAACCAGTAAGGAGATTGAAACAGTCATCAAAAACCTCCAAACAAACAAAAGCCCAGGGCCAGACAGCTTCCCGGGGGAATTCTACCAAACATTTAAAGAAGAACTAATTCCTATTGGGATTTCATCAAGATCTAAAGCTTTTGCACAGCAAAGGAAAACAGTTAACAAAACCAAAAGACAACTGACAGAATGGGAGAAGATATTTGCAAACGACATATCAGATAAAGGGCTAGTGTCCAGAATCTATAAAGAACTAATCAAACTCAACACCCAAAGAACAAATAATCCAATCAAGAAATGGGCAGAGGACATGAACAGACATTTCTGCAAAGAAGACATCCAGATGGCCAACAGACACATGAAAAAGTGCTCCATATCACTCAGCATCAGCGAAATACAACTCAAAACCACAATGAGATATCACCTCACACCAGTCAGAATGACTAAAATTAACAAGTCAGGAAATGACAGATGCTGGTGAGGATGTGGAGAAAAGGGAACCCTCCTACACTGTTGGTGGGAATGCAAGCTGGTGCAACCACTCTGGAAAACAGCATGGAGGTTCCTCAAAATGTTGAAAATAGAACTCCCCTATGACCCAGCAATTGCACTACTGGGTATTTACCCTAAAGATACAAACGTAGTGATCCGAAGGGGCACGTGCACCCGAATGTTTATAGCAGCAATGTCTACAATAGCCAAACTATGGAAAGAACCTAGATGTCCATCAACAGATGAATGGATAAAGAAGATGTGGTATATATACACAATGGAATACTATGCAGCCATCAAAAGAAATGAAATCTTGCCATTTGCAAAGACATTGATAGAACTAGAGTGTATCATGCTTAGCGAAATAAGTCAATCGGAGAAAGACAATTATCATATGATCTCCCTGATATGAGGGAGAGGAGATGCAACATGGGGGGTTAAGGGGGTAGGAGAAGAGTAAATGAAACAAGATGTGATTGGGAGGGAGACAAACCATAAGTGACTCTTAATCTCACAAAACAAAATGAGGGTTAATGGGGGGAGGGGGGGTGGGGTTATGCACATTGGGGTTGGGTATGTGCTATGGTGAGTGCTGTGAAATGTGTAAACCTGGCGATTTACAGACCTGTACCCCTGGGGATAAAAATATATGTTTATAAAAAATAAAATTAAAAAATAAAATAAAATTTATAAAAAAAAAAATCTAAAAAAAAAAAAATTTCCATGGAACCACATAAGACCCCAAATAGCCAAAGTAATTCTGAAAAAGAAAAACAATACTGGAGGCATTACAATTCCACATTTTGAGCTATGTAACAAAGCTGTAGTCATCAAGACCGCATGGTACTATAACAAATGCAGACATATAGATCAATGGAATAGAATAGAGAACCCAGAAATGGACCCACAACTATATGGTCAACTAATCTTTGGATTTTTTGCAGGAAAGAACGTCCAATGGAAAAAAATAGTCTCTTCACAAATGGTGTTGGGAAAACCACACAGCAGCATGCAGAACAATGAAACTGGATCACTTTCTTACACCACACACAAAAACAAATTAAAAATGGATGAAAGACCTAAATGTGAGACCAGAAACCAACAACATCCTAGAAGAGAACATAGAAACTTCTTTGACCTCAGCTTTAACAATTTTCTTACTAGACATGTCACCACAGGTGAGGAAAACAAAAGCAAAAATGAACTATTGGGACTTCCTCAAGATAAGAATTTTCTGCACAGTGAAGTACACAGTCAACAAAACTAAAAGTCAGCTTACAGAATGGGAGAATATATTTGCAAATTACCTATCTGATGAAAGGTTAGTATCCAAAACCTATAAAGAACTTACCAACTTAACACCCAAAAACCAAATAACCTGGTTAAGAAATGGGTAGAAGATATGAGTAGACATTTTTCCAAAGAAGACATCCAGATAGGTTACAGACACATGAAAAGATGCTCACCATCACTCATCGTCAGAGAAATACAAATCAGAGCCATGATAAGATACCACTTCACACCTGCTAGAATGGCTAAAATTAACAACACAGGAAACAATACGTGTTGGCGAGGATGCAGAGAAAGGGGAGCCCTCTTGCATTGTTGGTGGGAATGCACACTGGTGCAGCAACTCTGGAGAACAGTATGGAGGTTCCTCAAAAAGTTAAAAATAGAAGTGTCCCATGAGCCTGCAGTTATACAACCAAGTATTTACCAAAAAGATACAAAAATACAGACTTGAAGGAATACATGCACCCCGATGTTTATAGCAGCATTATCAACAATAGCCAAACTATGGAGAGAACTCAACTGTCCATCAACTGGTGAATGGATAAAGAAGTGGTACACACACACAAATGGAATATTAGCCATCAAAAAAATGAAATCTTGACATTTGCAATGTTGTGGATGGAGCTAGAGTGTATTATGCTAAGTGAAATAAGTCAGTCAGTAAAAGACAAATACCACATGATCTCACTCATATGTGGAATTTAAGAAAGAAAACAGATGTATATATGGGACAGGAGAAAAAGAAAAAAAGGTGAGAGGGAAAGAAGCCATAAGAGGCTTTTAACAGTAGAGAACAAACGGAGATAATGGAGGGAGGTGGGTGGCAGATGGGCTAGATGGGTGATGGATATTATTAAGGAGGGCCCTTGTTGTGTTGAGCACTGGGTGCTGTATATAGAATTCAATGAATCATTGAATTCTCCTCCAGAAACCAATATTGTACTGTATGCTAACTACCTAAAATTCAAATAATAAATTTATTTGAAAAAGAAAAAAAAAATTTAAAATCACCTTTTAAGGGGAAATTCAGCTGAAGCCATTACATAAGAAATACAATTTCATAGCAAGAATGGTGGAGGAAAGGAATAAAAGGAAAGCTCTTTTAGGGCTGAGACATTACTTCATTATATACTCAAGGCCCATTTCCACCCCTACAGTAGTTACAATAGTTTAAGAAGCCCATTTGGGTACTTTCTACTGTCATAAGATCTCATTTCAACTTTGTAGTCATTACTACATGCTTAGAATAGTCTCTGCTTAGAATTTATTTCAATTGGTACAGTGATTTATGTCAAGCAGTGTAAAACTAATCAAATATAAACTCCTTCCATCTTCCTTGGCTAATTTGGTTGTCAAAAATTTCTCATTAAGGGGGAACACACTTCTGTTGTTTTTTTAAAGGAAGTCATTTTACAGGATCTTGGTTCAAGAGATGATTTCTAACACAAAATACAGAGGAAACTTACACAACGTGCTGGAGGCAGGTCCATATCTATACTGTACCCCATATACTGACCGAAGTGCATTCACAGCTTTATAAGCTGCATATTCCTGTGAGGGAAAAGGGAGAGCTGATATCACTTTACGTCACTGCATTGAAACCCTAAGAAACACTGGCATGTTGTTTGAGCCTTATCAGTCTTCAATTTGGAGAGCAAGGTTGGGCACATTAGGTAATAGGTATATTTAATAATAATGGTAATAATATTCCTTGTCACATGCTGCAGTTTATATTTTAGAACACATTATGTCCTTTGATTGATCCTTACACCAAGTCAGTGATCAGTAATATTTCCATTTTACAGACAAGAAAGAAAAGGCTCAGCAAGGTTCAATGGGCAGGTTGGGGTTGCATGACAAGGAGTAGTCGAGGTAAGTGCCCATATCTTCTAATGCTGATTTAGTGTTCTGTCCTCTTCACTTTCATTCAGAGACACTTGTTTCTATGAATTACAAAATGCTTGACAGGGCAGAGCCCATGCCAGTCTTCTTCATAGCTACATATGCATTATTTAGCAATGTGCCTGTGTATAACAGAAGCTTAGTCGATATTTCTTGCATGAATGTTGAATAACCATAGCTCTGCAAGGGTGTCAAGATAATCTTATTGATCCTTAAGTACATACTTCAGTGGCTATGTACAAGATATTTAAAACACACTTGGATCAATTAGAAACCCTTTAGTTCAGGAAGAGTATCTTCTCTTATGCTATTCATTTATTCCTGCAGGAATAGGAAGAACAATTGTGGAATGCTCCATGACTTCTAGAGTTACATACGCCTCTGACAGAGCTCAGGTTCTGCTAAGATGGAGAAATTCTGAGGCGGAACGCTACCTATCAATGCTCCAAATCAGGAAAAATGAACAACACAGTAAAAATACTAAAAGGCGAATGTTCTAACATAAACTAAAGTGATACTGACTACACTTCAAAACATTTTCAAATGGTGTAACAGCATTAGTTTCGATAAGGAGTTAGAGAAGTATTGTATGACCAGTGAGAGGAAAAGAAGTATGGTGAAACCGGTATATAGCTCTCCCATTTCAATTTGCCTATAAATGATTTATTATACCGGTTGAAGTTCTCTGGGCAACACGGCGCTGTGTGTTGGACCCAGCTTCAGCTTGCTGTCCTCATTCACCTCAGGGATGCATAAGGCAGCATTTGTAGCAAATGCTACTCTTGGAGGATATTAAGGGACCAGCCTCCAGAACCTGGCAGACAATTTATTATTCATCTCACTGAGGATGACATCCTCCTCTCAGGAGCCAACAGAAAAGGAATGTAAACACCATAATAAGATACTTTTACGGAGAATGTTCTGAGATTTTAACATCTTCTCCAATGATTTCAGCAATATTCCATGGCAAAGGCAGATATTTCTACATTTCGAAGATTACTGTGTTCTGCTGGTGAGGAGAATTTTGTTCCTCATTATTTCAGATGACTAAACTACCCCCAAAAATCTTTTAAGAAAAAAAATACAACCACTTGGTTTATTTACACAAAATGTATGCACAGTTTTAACGTTTTGAGCTCATGGCACTTCTATCACTCAGGTGCAGGTGGAGGCTGATAAGATGGTTGGATATGATCAGTCCACAAAAAGTAAAAACTTCATAAAATTCTCTAGGAATTATTTTCCAGGGTGGTGTAGCCGGATACCCATTTGAAAGAGTTTATGCAATTCCTCCTTTCTTTATCGCTTCCTCTTTTCAATTGTTCAAAAGGACCCAGGCCTCACTTAGTGAACCTCAACTAAGTCAGGAATATATTTTTTATTCAAATAGTTCCATATTTAAAGCAAGTTAATGAATGACCTAAAAATGTTAGTGAAACAAAGGCTCCTACATTGATGGAATTTTAACTTTTTTTTTTTTAAGATTTTTTATTTATACATTTCACAGAGGGAGAGACAGCAAGAGAGGAAACACAAGCAGTGGGAGAGGGAGAAGGAGGCTTCTTGCTGAGCAGGGAGCCTGATGCGGGGCTCAATCCCAGGACCTGAGCCGAAGGCAGACACTTAATGACGGAGTCACCCAGGCGTCCCTGATGGGATGTTTTTGAACAATTTATTAGAATTGGAAGGTTTCTGTTAACATTCAGAGACTACCTAGTTTCTGAGAATTTTAATTGTGGCATTAATGACTTAGATTATATGTAACCTGGTAACAGTATTTCTCAACAGTGGTATTATTGACAGTCTGGACTGAATAATTCTTTGCTGCAGGAGGCTGTCCTGTACATTGTAGGCTGTTTAGCAGCATCGGCCTCTATCCACTAGCTGCTAATAACATCCTCCAGCCTTGTGATAATCAAAATGTCTTCAGCGTCATTCAGTGTCTCTGGGAGGCAAAGTCATCCTTGATTGTGAATCACTGGTATACTCTTTATACCATATCCAAGACAGACAAAATCTGATCCAAGACAAAATGAAAATAAGCTTAACTCAGGTAATAGTTTTAATATATTGCATACTCCATTTAGTCTGTTGTGAGAATATAAATAGACACTGTGCCCAACTTAGAAAGGGCTGAATATAAACCTAGAGAAGCATTGTGTGATACAGGGTGGTTAAAAATAGGTTAACAGTTGGGTTAAAAACAACAACAACAACAACAACAACAACAACCCTATTTGACTCACACAGTAGTTGATGAATTGCACTTTTTTTAAAAAAAAAATTTTATATATTTATTTGACAGATGGAGATCACAAGTATGGGTGATCAGAGTTCTTTGGTAGGTAATCAGCTCACTTTAGGGTACAGGTTGAAACCGCGCCTCCTCCTACTTCCCCACCATCTTGTCTCTTCTGGAGATCACAAGTAGGCAGAGAAGCAGGCAGAGAGAGAGGAGGAAGCAGGCTCTCTGCTGAGCAGAGAGCCAGATCTGGGGCTTGATCCCTGGGATCATGACCCTGGGATCATGACCTGAGCAGAAGGCAGAGTTTTTAACCCACTGAGCCACCCAGACACCCCACGAATTGCACTCTTAAATAGAACTACCACCTTTATAAAATTTCTCAAGAGAATTTGCTCAGAGTTTTTGCTTGGTTATGCCAAGAACAAAGTTCCTCTTTGGACAGAATAGAAGCCTTCCCTCAGGCCTTCCTCAGACCTCCTCATGTTCTCAATTCCTTCCAGGTCCTAGACATCTGGGTCAGGAATTCCTGCCACTCCAACCAACTGGTGAAGAATTTAGAGATCAAGGTGTAGGAAGAAAGGGGATGCTTCTCTTTTATCAAAGCTTTTAATTCAAGAAGAATTATACATACAGAAGAATATACACATTTTCAGTTCATAACTCAATGAATGATCACAAATTACACACACTCATGTAACCATCGTCCAGGCCAAAGGATAGAACATCAACAGCAAAACCCAAAAGCTTTCCTTCCTATACGTCATCCTAGTCACTGTTCCCTTCCTCTCCCTCATTTCTAACACTGTATATTAGTTTGACCTGGTTTTGAATTTTATAGTCCTTCAGATGCCAGAGGCTCTGAATCAGACTCACTTTACAAGGCATTTTGCCCTACAGTGGATAGCTTGTTGGGTTTCTGAGATGAGGAAGAAAGAAACTGCTTTTTCACTGCCAACTAATCTTATGCCTGAAGGCTGTTCATTCTCAGCACCAACTTGTCAGATACATGCCCAGAGACTTAGTACCATTAAGCAAATAGTGCTCATAAATTAAATCTTACTTTTAATTAATGAGAGTCAGACCATAATTTATGAACAATTATTTACTCAATAAAATTAATTATAGTCCTGCATATTTGACCGAAGCTGTAATACTAATCACATCCATCCTGACAACTTTCTGTGTAACCCGTGCTAAGAATGTAAATTGGTTTGAAATGACTGCATTTGAGAAGCAGCGTAGCGCAGTGGTTCAAAGTGACAAGGCCAGAGCTAGACTGGGGGCTGAAGCCTGGCCAGGGCACTTAGTAGCTGTGCATTCTGTGTCTAATTACTTTATTTCCCTAGGTTTCAGTTTCCTCATCTGTAAAATGGGGACAATAATAGTTACCTATCTCATATGCTTATGGAAAATAAATGAGTTGATATGTAAAAGATGCTTATTAGAATAAACACAATATGTGTTTGCTATTACCATTACTACTCAGACCCCTTTTAGCTTTAGAAAAGAAGCGTAAAGCATGACATGCATATACAAGTGCAAATACTTACCACACAGCTAAAGTTGGGGATTGTTGCGTATTTGTAAGAATAGGGATATAGCAACATCTGAGCATATGCATGAAAGGAGAGGTAAGCTCTAATGTGCTTCCTGTGTTTTCGGAGGAAAGTGGCTACAGCTTTCACTTCTGGCTCAGATTCTGGGAAAGGTCCACAGTATGTATCATCACAAGGGTTCATAGAAGCTCCTTCATCTGCAAGATAGAAGAGAAAATGGGGTGATGGAATGGATAGGCAAGAAGCAAGAAACACGGATCAGCTTTCTTAAACTGATTTTTTCTTTAGTTTCTATAAGCATACAGCATTGTTAAGCAATTCATCTTACTTCTCATTTACAGAAACCAATACTGAAAAATCCAAGGTGGTTCAAACCACCACGCACAATAGGAGGGTGCCCTGAATAGGAACTAGGCACTGATTGTTTAAATGAGCCTGCATAAACCACTTGGAAAAGGATGGCTTTATCAGTGGGAGACCTAATTCTATATGATCCCCAGATCAGGTAAGGCTCCTATACCCCATGATGCCTCCATTTTTCCTCCATAACATTTAACACACCTGTAATTAGTGCCCAGTATTTACCTGCTTAACATTCAACCAATATTTACACTGTTCTAGGCGCCTGGTATACAAAGCAAGACAACACAGAAAAACTCCCTGCTCTAGTATAAATATTCAGTCTGGATTCTTTGTTAAACTCTAATGTTCTGTGAAAGCAGGGACTGTGCCTTTCTTGCTGGGCACCTGGCAACTAGAACAATAGTATGCCAAGTGTTCAACAAATATCTGTTAAAAAGTGAATGTCAGCTCAAAAGAAAAGGCTAGACATCTGCACAGGTGTCTGGTAAGATAAAAATACTGATACATCAAGACCATGAAGGCAAGGCAGAAACAATTCCACAAAAGATGCTAAAATAATTTTGGTTTTTAGATAAGCAATATCCAAACTGGTTTTGTAAAACCCAAGAGGCTTCTCTAGTTATCTTGGGGGTCAGTAAGAATTCAGTTAAGAAATCCTCACAACTAAATTGTAATAATTTTTGAATTAAAAACTTTATAACCTATAGGGTCTATGAAGGGGAGGAAGGAAAATAACATTCACCATAGTAATCACAAAGTATTAAGGTTCCAAGACATTTTTCCATCAATAAATAATTACATTTTCTACAGTTATTTGCCACTCGCCATTATTAGCCCTCCCAACAGCCCTAGAAAACTGTCTCTTTCCATAAGCAAATGGAAAATGTTTGGTGATTCTGTGACATAGTCCAATTCCACTAATATGAAAAGATAACCAAGTCAAATCAGGCTAAAGCTTGAGGACATTAAATCTAGTTTGTGTTATAGGTGAATTAAAATGTGGAATTTACAGCAATTGTGGTTTTCCTCCTTTGAGTCTAATTCTGGGCATGACTTAGAAGTAAGTGGGATATGGATGGAACTCAGATAGCTGATACTCTGAAAGGAATAGGACAAATAAATTGACATTTGAAGATCACAGATGTAAAACACCAGAAAGGAGAGATCACAGACTGAACAACTAATTCCAGGGAGAGCAGAACTAATGAGCCAAAGAAAAAAGGATTTACAATAATCCTGATAAACATTCTCAAGGGCATACAGCAGGGCACTGAAAACATTAAACAGGGACAAGAAGTTATTAGAAAAAGTACCAGTCAGATATAATAGAAATGAAAAACTTAATTCATGGGTTGAAAGAATACAGTTGATGAGTGAATTAATGAGATAGAATATGTTTTGAAACATTCCCAGAAGGCATCAAGAAGAGACAAAGAACTGGAAAAATGAAAAAAAAAAAAAAAAAGCAGTGTGACAAATAGAGTATCAACATCTGATTAACATAAAGAAATAAAAGTTAAATATTTGAAGAACTGCTAATTGAAAATTTTCCACAATTAAGGAAAGATTGAATGGACTTATTGTGTACAAAACAAGAGAGATAAAGGGGAAATCTGTCAATGCTTTGACACTGTAGGGTGAAATTTAAGAAAAGGAAACAATTCCAGAGAGAAAGCAGCAGGAACAAGGAACAAGGAACTATAAGGAACAAGGATTAGATTCTATAAGGAACAAGGATTAGATTCACACCTTTTTATTTTTTTAAAGATTTTATTTATTTATTTGACAGAGATCACAAGTAGGCAGAGAGGCAGGCAGAGAGAGAGGGGGAAGCAGGCTCCCTGCTGAGCAGAGAGCCCCATGCGGGGCTTGATCCCAGGATCCTGGGATCATGACCTGAGCAGAAAGCAGGGGCTTCAACCCACTGAGCCACTCAGGCACCCCTCGATTCACACCTTTTTATTAACAACACTAGAGTAGTATTTCCAAAGTATATTTATATACATATATGTGTACTTATTTACTATTCTTACATCTTATTTATAGGTTTAAAAATTAAATTATATTGTAAATATAATATAAATATTAGTGTACAGCATAGTGAATCGACAATTATATACATTATGAAATGTTCACCATGATAAGTATAGTTACCATTGATCACCATACAAAATTGTTACAATATTACCTACTGTACTTGCTATGCTGTAAATTACACCTTGGTGAATTATTTATTTCATAACTGGAAGTTTATATCTTTTAATTTTCTTCACCTATTTTGCCCATCCTCCACCAACACTTTCTATCTACAGTAAACATAGGGGTGCATATATCTTTTTGAATTAGCATTTCTATTTTCTTTGGGTAAATATCTGGAAGTGGAAATGCTGGGTCATATGGTATTTCTACTTTTAGTTTTGGGGGAACCTCCATACTCTTCTTCCATAGTGTCTATTACCTTAATTGTTCTAGGTGCATTTGAAAAGAATGCATATTCTGCTGTTTTTGGATGGAATGTTCTGTATGTATTTGTTAAATCCACATGGACTAATGTGTAACTCAAAGTGACTGTTTCTTATTTATTTTCTTTCAGGATGATCTACTGATTGATATAACTGGGGTGTTAAACTCCCCTACTCTTAATGCTATTTTGTCAATTTCTCCCTTTATGTCTCTTAACATTTGCTTTGTATATAATCAGGCTGCTTGTATATTGGGTGTATAGATATTTATAAGTGTTATATCATCTTGTTGGAGTGATCCCTTGATCGTTATGTAATGTCCTTCTTTGTCTTTTGTTATAGCCTTTGTGTTATTTTGTCAATTTTGTCTGATGTAAGTACTGCTACCCCAGATTTTTTTTCTGGTTTTCTTTTGCATGGTATCTTTTTCTACCTTCTAACTTTAAGTTGCATGTTCTTGAGGTTTGAAGTGAGTCTCTTGTAGACAGCATATAGATGGGTCTTCTTTTTTTATTTTTAATCCATTCAGTTACCTTATGTCCTTTGATTAGAGCATTTAGACCATTTACACTTAATTATTGATAGACATATATTTATTACCATTTTGTTAATTATTTTCTTGTTTTTGTAGTTCTCTGTTTCTTTCTTCTTCTCTTCTACTCTTCCCTTGTGATTAGTCACTTCCTTAGTCTTATGCTTGGATTTTTTTCTCCTTTTTGTATCTATTACAGGTTTTTGGTTTTATGGTCACCATGAGGATCATATATAACATCCCAAGTATATAACAGTCTATATTAAGTTGGTGGTTTTGAGTTTGAACACATTCTAAAAGCACTACATTTTTACTCCTTCCTCTCTATGTTTTATGCATATGACATCATATTTTATATCTTCTATTTCTTGAATCCCTTAACTAATTTATTAGATATAACTGACTTTACTACTTTTGTCTTTTAACCTGCATATGGCTTTATAAGTGATTGATTTTCTACCTATACTATATATTGTTTTTACTAGTAAATTTTATCTTCTAATAGTTTTCCTACATCTAGTCATAGTCTTTTCTGCTGTAAGTCCTTTCACATTTCTTATAAGGCCAGCTTAATGCTGATGAACTCCTTTAACTTTCATCCGGGAAACTATTGCTTCTTTAGTTCTGAATGATAACCTTGTTAGGTAGAGTATTCCTGGTTGTAGGTTTCTTTCCTGTGAGCTCTCTGAATATAACCTGCTACTTTCTTCTGACCTGCAAAGTTTCTGTTGAAAAATCAGCTGACAGTCTTATAGGGTTTTCCTTGTATATATGTAGTTGGTTTTCTATTTTGGTCTTAAGATTCTAATTTTAATTTTTGACATTTTAGTTATGTGTCTTGGGGTTAACCTGTTTGGGCCTTGTTTGGGGTTCTCTGTGTTTCCTGGACCTGGGTGTCTCTTTCCTTCCCCAGGTTAGGGAAGTTTTCAGATACTGTTTCTTTAAATGAGTTTTCGGCCCCCTTTTCTCTCTCTTATCCTTCTGGGATTCCTATAATGCAAATGTAGCAATACTGGATGTTGTCCTACAGGTCCTTCAACCTATCCTCATTTTAAAAAATTCTTACTTTTTGCTGTTCAGCTTGAGTGCTTTCCATTACCCCATCTTCCAGATCGCTGATACATTCTTTTGCTTCCTCTTATCTGCTGTTGATTCCCTCTAGCATATTTTTCAGTTCAGTTATTGTATTCCTCAACTCTGGTTTTTATATTTTCTATCTTTTTTTTTTTTTAAAGATTTTATTTATTTATTTGACAGAAATCACAAGTAAGCAGAGAGGCAGGTAGAGAGAGAGGAGGAAGCAGGCTCCCTTCTGAGCAGAAAGCCCGATGTGGGGCTCGAACCCAGGACCTGGGATCATGACCTGAGCTGAAGGCAGCGGCTTAACCCACTGAGCCACCCAGGCGCCCCTATTTTCTATCTTTTTATTGAAGTTCTCACTGAGTTCATCTACTCTTAAGCCTGGGGAACATCTTTATGATCATTATTTTGATCTCCTAATCAGGTAAATTGTTTATCTCCATTTCACTTGGTTCATTCTCTGAAGTTTTGTCTTGTTCTTTCATCTGGAGCATGTTCCGCTGTTTCACTTTATTTGACATTCTGTGGTTGTTTGTATGAATTAGGCCAAACAGGCACCTCTCCCAGCCTTGAAGGTGTAGTCTTGTGTGGGAACATCACCTGTGTCACCTGTGTGTGCCTGGTGGTGTAGGCAGGACAGCCAAAGCAGGCTTGTTTTGGGGTGTCCTGGGTGCTCCACATATATGAGTTTCTACATTGGTTGCCATGTGGGGCTGGTGGGGCCCAGAGTGCTCTGGATCAGGGCTGCCCCAGGGGGATG